ACTACCGCTAGCCGTATCAGCGCGGGGAGACAGCCGCAGCCGCCGCAGCTTACGGCGCACCCAGACGGCGGCCACCACCACCAGCAGCGCCTCGACCAGAAAGCCAGTCAGCAGTGCCGCAATGCCCATCGTCGCTCCACGCACGCCCACCGCCGGCAGGATAAAGAGCATGGCCACGATGACGGCGACACGCGTGGGCGCTGAGGGCGCTACGGCCTTGGTACGCTCGTGCAGCATGAGCCAGCCCGTGTAGTGCGACCGCACGGCCACCGCCACGCCAAAGAACGTGAAAATGCGCAACGGCACGACGGAGGCGCTTGCCAAGTCGTCCGACACGCCGTTGACGCTCTTGAGCATGGCCACCGCCACGCCGGGAATCCAAAACAAGACGAACATCATGCCAATGCTGATGGCCAGGCAGAGGAGCATGAACAGCGAGATGCTCCGCGAGGGCATCTTCCTCACGCTGGCGCCACCAGCGCCACTACCGTTCTCCGCTCGCTTACGACGGAACGTCGGCGCCAGAGCTCGGGTTTCGTTCAGCCATCCGTACGGCAGGTGGCCGATGGGAAACGTCAGCGACAGCACCGCCACTGTGCGATCCGCTGCCTCCTTGCTGAGTCCGCTGGAGCGGGCACACAGCAGGTTGACGATTGGCCGGCTGATGCTCTGCATTGCCTTGACGAGCGCCAGCGGCCAGAAGAAGCGCAGGATGCGGGCATAGCCCGGGCTGTTAGCCGATACACCGTCGTCCGGCCGGCCACTGCCGAGCGTCGAGTGCACGAAATAGAAATACCCAAACACGACCATGGCGAGCCGCACCACCACGCCAGCGTGCAGTGCAATCAGCGGGATCGCCAGCGGTTGGCTGCACAGCAGAGACGTGTGCAGCAGCACGGTCACCGTGACGATCTGCAGGCCCATGTCGGCCATGGACGCCATGCCGACGAACCCGCTGCACTTGACACGCAGCAGGCAGCCGCTGTGCAGGTTGGCTATGCTGTCCAGCAGCGGGAACGCACACATGCTGACGAACGACAGATACGCTGCCTTGCCGGTTGCGGCGTTCACGCCATGCAAGTCCTCCACGAACAGAACACCGAGCTTGGTGGCACCCAGCAAGGCCAGCAGCACTGCCGTCACGCACCCACACAGCAGTAAAATAATCAGCGATCGTCTCCTGGACGCATGGTCTGTCACCAGGACAAGGCCGACGTTCTTAAACTCGCCCAGCGAATTCGTGAACAGCTTCACCAGCGTGTAGGCCAGTCCGAAGCCGGCCAGAGTCGTCACTGCATTGGTGCCCCTCGCCACACTACGATTGAGCACTTGCTGCCCGACATCCTTCGCAATGTTGGTAAATGCAATGGGAGCCAGGAAGCGACCCAATTGAGCGAAGTCTCCACGCAGCGTCTGCGTCTGCATTTTCAGCCAGCAAAAACAGGTATGAACTGACTGTATGCAGTACTCTTCATACTCGTAACGCTTTATTGGAGTTTCTGACTGCAGTACGACTACGAGTTCATCTCCAGTCTAAAATTGATCTGAGCGTCTAGTGCTTGCTACAGCCATTCCCACAGCTACAATTGTAGTGCTATAATATTATTGTAGTGGAAGCCCTGACATGACAGGGGGGAAACAAGGAAGAAAGAATAATAATAATAATAATAATAATAATAATAATAATAGCATTGAGTTTGAATGGGGAATATTTTTGCTTCTTTGATTGATGATATTTTGAGAACTTACTTTTAAAGTCTTTGAAACTCCGATGACGTCAACGTAGACCCAAATACGTAAGGTGGCCTACTTGTAAGCCAAGGCGGCGTAGGAAGGCCTCGGCCTCGTCATCTTCCCATATTCAAGTAGGTATAGTTAACCTCTTTAGCACGACGCTACCTGAGCGCGCCCCACGCGACAACACCTGTAAAAGTCGCATTTTCCCATGAAAGTACTAGCTGCTCAAGGATCGATAACTTTACCTTCCCTTGGACGAATTCCACGATCTTGAGCTTCCTGGAAAGGTCTTGAGACGAGTGACAAACTGGTGTCAAACCTAGCTCGGAGCGAAACCAAAACCCCGTGCTACAGTCTGGCAAACTTCATCCACGCGCTCGACAGACTTGAGCACGGCCAAGACTAACCAAGCTCAAATATTCAGCTGCCATTTCGGTCTCCTTGCTCGTATCGAGCTCAAATTTTTTGTGAGGACTCACGGGATCCACTACCATCATTTGAATCTTGTTTCCATGGCAGCAGGTAGCGCACAAATGATCCATGATGGAAAATACGCGTTCTGCAGACTGCGCAAAAAAATCGCAAAAAAATCGAGTTGAAATTTGCCGTGTCGAGTCGCATATCTCAACAACCGGTGGTCGCATCGCTTCGGCGATTGTTTCTATCGCCAGCTGAGAGTTTTCTCTTGCAGATACATGTTTCGATTGTGAGAATCGACCAAGTATTGAGTGAGTTACGATAGTTTGAACAAGTCACTATGGACTCAACACGGACCCCACGACTATGAGATGCAGGTTCAGTGTACAGTGTACAGCGCGCGTCGTACTAGTACGACGGCCGTGGGGCATGCAACTCATGTGCGTCGTACTAGTACGACGCTCGCGCTAAAGGGGTTAAAGTTCCCCCAAATAATTATTTCATATCATCAGCGATGATGGCAGATGCCCTCCTGGGTGTGGAGAGAATCAGCTTGCGTGGCGTAGCCAGGAGTCGCCAAGGACAGTGTGCATGGTGTGTGGTCATGTTAAAAGTAAGTAAAGAATCTTTGAATTTTCAAAAACACGTACTCTTAGAGAAACCATTCTTCAATGTAAAATTGTTGATACCAAGAGTCCATAACTAACACTTGTGCCAGACATGTTTATGCACTCTTGTTGATACATGAAATAAAATTATGTTCCCATTTTGAACTTTACATAAGACAGTCAGTGTAGAAACAATTACATGCCGGTAGGCAGAACGTTTTATCAGTGCAACGGCGTTACCGGTTACTCTCGCAGTCTGGATTGTTAAAACTTGTTATGTACCGGTCTATGTAACGTTATAGTATAATACACATCTTCAATTGCTTCCTGGCCCCATGAACCATGAGAACAAGCTGCCGGCAGAACTGCCACGGTTTAACTCACCGGCGTCTGGAGCTTCAGCCGGGCCGACGATGCGGTTCTCACCACCCAGTGATGAGTCATACATGTACATGTACATCTGTACCTGCATGGCCGCATGGACTTGTGATAGCCCTTGCAGATTTCTCAGTTTGCAAACAGCTGTGTGGTCTAGTAGTGTCACAAAAGTTTGTTGACTATTAAACAAATTTAAATGTTTTTTTAAACAGTGTATGGCCACATGATTTTTAATTCTCCCCATTAGGCATAGCCCGATTTTGCTAGCAATTCTGCTAGCAATCGAAGAATTTTGAAAGTGAAATTGCTGGCAAAGCGGAGCAAAATATCGGTGTGTTCGCTGGAAATTGGGGTTTTACACTTATGGTGCATGTGACTCATTTTTGCACAGTTTTATCCAGGGAGTAGTACAATACAGGGAGTAGTACAATTGTACTACTCCCTGGTTTTATCAACACGTAACTCACTTTTTCTCATTTTTGCCAACACGTGACCCACTTTCGGTCAGTTTTCCCACACGTGGCACAAATTTTGGAGCAAAAAGGGAGCAAAATATCGAGTTGGCTGGCAAAATGAACGCAAAATATCGAGGATGAGCCAGCAAATTTTTTGCGGCAAAATATCGAAGCTTCACTGGCAAAATCGGACTTTTCCTACTCCCCATCACACTAGAAATACAAACAAGAGAGTTACAAAATTGAGAAGAAGGAGCGACAACCCGGCCATTATGGAATCCAATACACCATACCACCACATTGCGCTCTTGGCCGATCCAAACTCTGCACTCACATCACCATCACCACAGCGAGGACAATTCCGGTATATACATGTAGATTGATATTGACAAAGACCCTCCAGACAGCTGTTTCGCTCCTCCTGTGCTCATCAGTGGAGGCATTATGATGTTGAATGAAAGAATAACAAGAATAGACTGATCTTTATATGGCTAAAGAGAGTTACATGTAGCGATAACATGTTTCATGGTCCTTGAATCAGTTGCCATGCCCGCATACTAGTACTGCATGTACATGTCATGCACAGTCCTGCTCAATGAAATCCAGTCGTGTTACTCAAGTTTGCGCCTTGCACCATTTTGCAGCCCCGGGTGTTCGCAGTACAGGTCTAGGGCTGCGCAACGCCCGGCGGCGCGTACTTGAGTGACGCTGTGACTGGATTTCATTGGGCAGCTCTGTACTACCAAGAGGTTCAGTGTAACAAAAAACGTTGGCCAGTCCGGGACCGTGTACTGCCCATGCATAACTTTGAAATGTCACAGTGACTCTGGATCACAATGCGTTTCAATGGAAAGAGCCAGAGATCCGGTATATGACGTCACTGTTTCTACACTGAAAACTGGGAAACAAGAGTAGCAATATTTCCACTAAAACTCACTCAGATGGCACCCACATGTACAGATGATTGTACACATGTACTAGTACTGGTACCATGGTATCAGACACAAATCATGTAGGCAGAGCCTTATAGGCGATTCAGACGATGGCCAACTGTGACCACGTTTCTACGACTCAGACGTTTTTGATCAGGGATCGTGCATAAAATTTTAAAACACGACTGCATCACCATGGACATTCAAGTTTACACGTGATTTTGGCCGTAGTCTGAATCGCCTATCACTGAGTGGTACCAAGTCCAGGCGAGCCAGTCCTCTGCCATGTGTCGCACTCACACCTCCCCCCCCCCCCCCCCACAAAAGGGATGTTCACAAGAACAAACGCACATGATCAAGAGACGACAGCCAAGTACAATCGTAGGAGGCAAAATGTAACAGTACGAAATGAATTTCTCAAAAACTGTCCAAGAGTTCAAGCAGAAGGCGAAGTAGAACAGTACGAAATGAATTTCCAGAAAGAAACGACGCAAGAGTTGTCATCGTCCGTAAAGATAATTCTTACTTCAGTAATATTGAAAGCTGGAAAACGACTGGTTGCGCACAGCCAGAAAATCGTCATAATCCCGAAACACATCGGTGTCAAGGCCGTGCGAGTCAAGTGTTCCGTAATATTGAAAATAATAACACATGCATTATAAGGAGATGCATCTTCAGTTTAAAACAAATTTTGCAGGACTGTAAGGCACATCATTCACTGGCAAGTGTGTTGAAAAGTCCAGTTAGAATGTAAACAGTAGCTCGCAAGACTAAAAAAGGTCATTACACTCAGTCCTGGAGTAGTATTTTGCCCCTGTGTGGATTCAACGGCGAATCACAGAGACATTACGTCATTCCAAATTATCATATCAATTGGAGAGAAACGGTTTTGCTATTGGAAACGTTGCGGCACTGCGTGTGTGTGTTTGTGTACACATGCGTGTGCGTGTGCGCGCGGCGTGCATGTACACACACATTTTGTGGGGGGGGGGGGGTAAGAGAGACAGACAGATGGACAGAAAGAGACAGAAGGAAAGACAGAGAGACAGAGACAGAAGGAGAGATAGGGAGAGAAATAAATGGAAAGAAACAGAGTGACTGAGCGAGAGAGCAAAGAATTCTAGGCTCTTGTAAAAAGATCGACAGATTCGAGACTGCTACCGACCTGGAAGGAGAGGCATATGAATATGTCCACTGCTAGAACAACACCTATAATGTTAGTCTCACATTCCATATGGGGCACAGGACATTTAGTCGGAGACATAGTCCAGAATATCCTGTGATGTAAAAACACCTTTTGAATTGTACAGCGGTGGTCGGAATGCACTCACCGAGCATGGGTTAGAGTACAGGTGGATCTTCTCCATGGCCATGATGTCGCGAGACTGTAGCAAACAGAGGATGCCGACATTGCTGATCTTGTTATGCTCAAGGCTGACGAGCTGCAAGCTGGCGTTGATCATCTTCATATCAGCCAGCGCATGTGCTGTGCCATCGCTGGCTTGGTTTCCAGCCAAATTTATCCACATGATGCATCTGTGTTGCTTGAGAGACTGGAAAATGTGGATACCAATTTCATCAGATAAACCAGTCTTGGACAGGGACAGATAGCGTAGTTGTCGACAGGTTCCAAGACTTTGCAGTAGGCGTTGGCATAGGGCATGGCTAGTGTCGAAGTTGTCAAATATTGGATTCCATGAAAGGTCCACAGCACGAACGGCTGAACGGGATGACGATACTGAGCTCATTATCGGAATCACACCAGCCACTTGGATCTGGTTCCTTCTCAGAGTAATAAATTGCAGGGATGTATTGTGCGCAAGTCCAGACTCAGCCAGAGCTGTTGCACCTGTGTCAGTTAGTCTACATGAACTGATATCAAGAAGACGCAAGGCATTGCTAGTAGCCAGGTATTCACCGAGCGATGGCATCATACTGTCTTGCAGCATGCCGCGCAGTTTACTGTTATGCTGTCGCACTAGGTCCTGTATTGACCATGATCTAACAGCCGGACCACTCACATAGTGACTGGTGGTCATGAAACAGTCATTTCCACAATGACCCGACCTGGCAATCTCCTCAAGCACTTTGGTTGTGATGTGGT